ATTAATCTTCCCATGAAGAAGAGAGAGGCAATTGCTGGCTTAAACCTGACAGTGACTCAAGGAAGTGACCTTTTAGTAGCCCCTAAACATTAACCATTTCTGAACAACTAATTATGAGAAATATTCCTTTGCCACCCTTGGAAAATAATGGTTTATTTCTGAGAAACAATATAGAAGGGCATTGCATAGTAGGTCAGGCCAATGATCCATCCAACTCAGCATCTCACTTCTGACAATGGTGCCAAGATACAATTGATGGGACTAACATCTACTGGGAGAAACCTTCCTGCCATTTTCTTTTTTTCTTTTGGCTAGGCAATGGGATTAAGTGACTTGCCCAGGGTCACACAGCTAGTAAGTGTTATGTGTCTGAGGTTGGATTTGAACTCAGGTCCTCCTGAATCCAGGGCCAGTGCTCTATCCACTGCACCACCTAGCTGCCTCTCCTGCCAGTTTCTTGGTGGATAAAGAGCAAATGGAGCAGCCTAGAAATTCCAGACGGAAAAGCCCTGGGACTTCTCTGAAGGGAATCCAGTGATTCCTCGTTGGTTGCCATAGTAATTCCTCATTCTAGGTCATCAAGTAAGAAGAGAAGCATGGAGCCTGTGTTTCAGCAGTAAATAGGAGCATTTGGCATAAGCAAGCAACATCTTAAGCACTTCAGTGAACTATATCCCAAAACCAATTTAGGAAAGATGTTCTTGTGAGGCACCTATCTCTAAAAGCTAATAAGCTACTTTATTAAGATGGGAGAGTAGCAGGAATTAATGAGATACTGTGTTTCTCTTTCTCCCATACACAAGGAACTGTTATAAAATTAAAGGACTAACACCTAAGTTAAGTGTCTCTCTTCTTTATAATTAGATAAAAAATGTTTTTTTAAACAGTAGGCAAGAAAAAATATGAACTACCATTTAGTCTTTTATCTAGGAGTCACTATGCAGTTTCAACCGCATTATTCCTCTGCTTTTTGTTTTAATTTTAGATCCCTTACGGAGGATGTATGTGAAGAAACGGAGAAGAGTCACAGGATGAGAAAGCATGCGTGGATAGGTTGAGATCTGCACCACTGAAGGGAATACCTACCCTGAAGACATCATAGGCCCAGTGAAGTATTACCCTGCTTAAGAAAATACAGTGCCCCTCTCGCCACGCATTTATAACTGGTCTCATTTTTGCTTCTCAATCGTTTGATCAATAAGTATTCACTGAACATCAGTTATCTGTCATACGCACAGTTCTCTACTTAAGGGAGATGAAAAAGAAATTGAAAACACAAATCCGGACTTTTGAAAAGCATCAGTCTGGTTGGGAAAACAAAACATACACACAGCAGGAGTTAGACTGGGGCACACTCCATGGAAATGCGGAGCCATTTCTGGGGAAGGACTCTGGGATGAGGAAACAGTCCCCTTATTGACACTGAGCAAGAACAGTATCGGGGGACTTTAAAAGGGGAGTGACTCTACCTTCTACCTCTCTTCTATCTGGAGATGTCAGCATCTCAAGGGGTGAGGGTGGGGCTGATGACCTGCAGAAACAGTAAACTTGGCAGACGGCAGCTCCAGCATGCTCAAGATTAGGTGACAGAGACTAGGCCTTGGGCCCGGGGCTGCTGCTTCTGTTTTATTCCTTTCCTGAGTACAGGTTTATGAAAAGTAATTTCTGAGATAGACATGTCCAGCCTCAGAGACAACCTTTAAGTTCAAAAGACCCGGAGATCCTGGGTCCCTTGTTTAGAGGCAGTAGAGAGAGTTTCTGCATTGGAGAGGATAACCACCGACAGGAGAAGATCAATCAACCCTTGGTCAGGCTTTCCAGAAGACAAGAACATGGTGAGAAGAGGTGAAATGTGAAATCCAGCAGTCCTGCAAACTGCATCATGTGCTGATGTTTTGAGTATCAACCTCTGGAAAAAGAATAAGAATAGCTAAGGTTACTGGCTTCTTCTGGCAATGGGCACTTGTGGGTTTTGTGTGTTAAACATTTCTTTTGGAGGAAATAAATAACTGGCCTTATCTGCATTGTAGATTGAGTCCTTTTCTACTCCCCACTTTTTGGAGGAGATCTTGGGCATGAGCCCAAACTAAAACCTTAAGCAATTCTCGGTGGGGCTCCAGGTTAGGATTATAAAGAGCCAAAGAGTGTGAGAAAGAGGCTGACCCTTCTCTTAGGTTGTCAGACTCCCCCAGGACTGAAGCTAGTTCTTGTTCATGGGTCCAGACCCATCCTGGAGAGGGGAGAGTATACACCACCACAGCCTCCAGGGCCAAGCACACGTAAAACAACAAAAGACCAAATGATATAAGAATATGTTACAAACTACTTCCCATCACATCCTTTCTATTCTAATCAGGTTAGCCCCATCCAAATCTCACACACTCATCCACAGGGCTTTGTTCATTCCTTTTCCTCTTCCTAGGCTGCCTGATGCTCTTTTTTCTCCATTATGACTCAGCTCAAAGCTCAGTTTTTTCAAGAAGTTTCTTCTGAGTATCCCTATCCCACTGTGATCAATCATATGCTCTGTCTCTCTTCAATCCAAGGATCTAGTATATCCTAAAATCACTTGGGCAGAGGAGAAAGAAATGCTGCAAAGGGCAGAAAAATATAAATAAATTAAGCTATGGCTTATTATACTTTTAGATAAGCAATAATGTACATTTTATGCATTTTATACATTATCATATTCCAGGAAGTCAGCAGAGATTTCTTAAGGAGCAGATTTGTGACATCTTCCTCTTCATTGATAGCTCTAGTTTTAACCCAGAAAGAAGCTCATCACCCTTTACAGGGTCCTCTGCCTATACAGTTACTGGAGTAATTCAGCTCTGAAGGGGGTCCCAAACACCACTGCCTACCTGCTTGTCTGGGCTGTCACAGCAAATGATGTAGATGTTTATTTATCAAACATACCGAGAAAGGAGTGAGGGTTGCATAACTCAGTACATTATTAATATAGACAATTGAGCACCAGGAAAAGTAAGTTATGATAATGTAAATCAGGGGGTTTATTGAATATCATTGGCACTTATTCATGTCTTTTTATAATTTTTTTGTTTCAGGCACATATCACTTTCTTTTTTGGTACAACCTTCCATCCTAGCTTTGAACACTAGGTATTCAAAGAATGTATGATAGGTGAACAGAAAAATCCATTGTATTAATCAGTTGTATAAAGTTCCTGAGTAAATGTTGTCAAAAGAATCTTGGGCAGTCTAGACATAAAGTAGGCATTCATTCTTTCAAAAAACACTTATCAAGTGTCTATTGTGGACAAGCCTAGGACAAGGATTGTCCTAGGCACTGTGAGAGATGTAAATTTAGCTAAAATACAATCTCTGTTCCCACAGAGCTTACAGCCTAATGAAAGATAAGACACAATCACGAATAATTACAATATATGATATTACATGATACATTAATTAGATTTGCAAAACAAAATGTTATATGAATTCCAAAGGGGCGGGGGGGGAGGGGAGTCATTACAGATCAGGGAAGGATTCACAGAGGAGATGGCATTTACACTGAGCTTTAAACAACAGGTAGGAATCCAACAGGTGAAGGGGGGAGAGAGACATTGTTGATATAGGAAAAAGCATAAGCAAAGGCACATAGGCAGGAAAGTGTGTAAAGACAGCTAGACAGACCTTGCTCTTAAAAATAGAAGCCTTATTAATTATGTCAGGAAATGGTACCCAGAGGGCTGGTGTCATCAGCTCTCGAGGGCTTAGTTATCTCTATGAGGATGATTCCCAGATCCAAATCAATCAATCACTGGCTTCTCAAACTCCAAGAGAGCTCATGATTTCTCCCCCTAAATTCCCTCCTCCTCCAGACTTTCCTGTTCCTACTGAGGGTACCACAGCTCCTCTATCCGCCCAGGTTTGCAGCCACTGTGTCATCCTCAACTAGTAATCCCCCTCCTACCACTTGCCCAGTTACCAGACCTCACCAATTCCACCAAACTCTGTCATTCCTACCTCCCCAACATTTCTTGCTTAGGCCCCTTTCCCTACCCTTATATAGGCACCACCTCTGTTCTTGCCTGAACTACTCCTCCAGCCTCTCATTTTGTCTTCCTGCCTCAGGTCTCTCCCCACTCCAATCTACCCTCCACACAGTTGCCTAGTAATATTCAAAAGCACAGATCTGACTGTCATTCCCTTACTCTCTAAACTCAAGCGGCTCCCTATTACTCTAGGATAAAATATAAGCCTTTGCTTGGCATTTAAAGCCCTTCACAACCTGGCTGGCCCCAATCTACCTCTCCAAACAGCCTTATTTCATGTTATTCCTCTTCATGAATACCAAGGCTGTTCCTTGAACACAGCACTTCATCCTCATATCTTTGCATGGGCTGCTCTTTCTTGTGCGGAATGTATTCCCTCCTCACTTCTCCAAGAACCGTTGGTTTCTTTCAAGGTTTGGCTCAAACATCACCTTCTACATGAAGCCTTTCCTATCTCACCAACTGCCAGTGCCTTTCCTCCAAACTTATCTGGTATCTGTTTTGCATATATACCTATAAATGTGCATGTGATCCCCCTCTTCCCCCAGACTAGGCTTCTCAAGGTCAGCTACTGCCATAAAAGGTGCTTAATAAATGCTTCTGGATGGATTAATGTGACTAGTCAACAGTTAGCAGAAGTTAACAAACAGAATACATGTCATGTTTAAAAACTGTGACAGAGCTACTGAAAATGAGCTCCTGTGATTGGATGGGTCTGCCTGAAAAAGGTCAAGGAAAGGAGCGAAAAGTCCCAGAGTAAGTGGGAAGATCAGAGAACAAAATCCTACACTTTCCAAGGGAGCGGGTGGGGAACAACTCTAGTTGTTCTATTTAGCGCTTTTGTGACCTTGGAAAAATCACATCCTCATTGGGCCTCAGTTTCCTCCCCTGAAAATCGAGGGGTTGGCCTAAAAAGAGCTGGAAGGTATCTCCTAACCAAAGCTAAACCTCCTAATCAGTCATTCCCGCTTCCCCAGACAGATGTGCAATGCAGAGCTTCACTCTCTCAAATTGCCAATCTGGCTCCACTGCAGCTTCACGCTTCACGGCTCGGGTCCACGTGGGAGTGCTTTCTAACGTAAGATACCTGTGCACCCACCACGAATGCAAAGCCACAGCCAAAGGTGAAGCCGGCTGGACCCCAACAGCAGCCCCGCCCGCCCCCCCCCCGCATTTATAGAAGGGTGGGGGAGGGGTCTGAGTTCAGTTTCAGTTTTTCGATTGTATCGGGTTCCTTAGGTCCAAATGCTCTAATATGAAGCTCAGATTGGGTTGGATTGGCGCCTCCTCCAGGAGTCACAGTTCCTCTGACCTCCCCCTCCCTCTAAGATGCTTCCAGAGACTTGAGTCTGGAGGGGAAGTTGATGAGGGCCCGTGAAAGAATGAATGAACGAATGAATGGACAGATGAATGAATGAATGAACCAATGCATACACGCATGCATACTTCCACAAACTCCCAGCAATCTGCTGCTGGAATGAATGCATGTATGCACGCACGCATGCATACATGCACACAGCCCCCTCCGAGGGGCCTAGCAGGGGAAGGCTCGGCTTGTGACTGACCTTGCTGGTGCAGTCACAGGCTCTGCAGTCCCCGGGCTTGGCGGGGGGGCGCTCATTGGTATTCCCCAGCCCGCCTGCGTCAGGCCGAAGCTGCTACACCGCTTCCCCCCCACCCCCGTAGCCTCGACTCCTGCCCCAGCCCGCCAGCCCGCCACCCTCTTCGCTAGCGAACAGCACGCGCTCTTCCTCACTCTCGCCCCCTCCCTCCCCACCTCGTGCGCCTCCTCCCTTACCCCTCCACCAGGCGGCGCGAGCTGAGCCTCGTACCCGTCCCTGCGGCTCTGCTCCCCCCACCCCGCCACCGCCTTCCAGCGCGCTCCCGCCCGCCTGTCGAGAGGGGAAGGGGAGGGGGCGCACAAGCTCCCGGCCCGCCCCCCTCCCGCCCACCAGCCGAGGGCGCTTCTGCCAGCGCGGGGCCGGAGTAGTCTCGGCTGTTGGAACGGTGGGGCCGCAGCCGCCGCAGCCGGTAACAGCCGCCGCGCGAGCGGGTGCAGGCGGGGGACTTCGCCCCGGGCTGGGGTCTCTCGCTCAGCCCCCCGCGAGTCCGGCCCCCGGGTGGGGCAGGTGGAGGGAGCTCAAGGTAGGACCCTCCCTCCGAAGCCCCCGGGAGCGAAGGCGCAGCAGCTGCCCCAGCTCCCGAGCAGGCGGGGATGCGCAGGGCGGGGGTCACGTCGTAAGTCCCGGACCGGAGCCGGAGCGAGTCCCCGGGTAAGCGGTGGGGACGGCGGTGGGGTATGAGCTTGGGGCGCGGCCGGGCCGGGAGGGGGCAGGGCAAAGGGGGCCCCCGGCGGAGCGCGATCTCCTCCAGGGGCCGCCTGCAGCTGGCAACGCCCTGCAGCTCCCCCCACCTGGCCTCGCCCCCGCCCTGGGCCCCCGGGCGTGGCTACCCCCCATCCCTGGAGATGAGGGCCCCCGGGGCCGAGCGTGAGCTCAGTCCGGTGGAGGAGGTGCCCCCTGATGCTGAAGAGCCCACCCTCGCCTGCCTTCGGCCGGGGTCTGGCCTTGAACATTACCGATCTCCCGGACTGACCACTTACCCCGCATGGCACACAGTAGGTGCTTAATCAATACTTGTTGTCTTGGGAGAGGAGTGGTTTTGCACCTGGCAAAATGTTTGGCGAAATGACCCCGCCAGGACTCAGAAGGCGCTTTGGGTCCCATCTGCAGGAGCTCCCCAGAACTTGACCGTGGGAAGGAAGAGTGTAGAGGAACTGGCCCTGGCAGGTGCCGAGATCGAAAGTTGGAGCTTTGTAGTTGGGGGGGGGGAGGCAAACTAAGAGGGAAGCCAAAGGAAGATTAAAGGACCCGTCTGTCACATTTGGCAGAAAGGGAAAGATTTCCAAACTGGGGAGTATTTGGCCTGAGGACACAGGCATTCCAGAAAGATGCTTTAGGTTCTTTAGGTATAGTATATAGATTGTTAATTGCCATAAAATTCTGTGTTGCTTTAAATATAGGTGGTATAGCTCTCTGTACATTCCTAGCTTGGTATGTACTGAGGTTGGAGAGGAAGGCGGTAACCAAGGAGAAAGATGGATTTTAGCTAGTGATCCTGAAAACTGCTGAGTGGTTATTTGTTAAGAGCATGTAAGAGAGAAGGCTATCTTAGAGACAGTAAAGAATTTGTGTTTGTTGGTGTTGCTGCATTTAGAGCCTAAGGAAAAAAGATAGTCTACTTAGGCAGGAGTTCTTAACCTGGGGTCCACAGGACCACAAGGGGTTGGTGGGATAGATTTCAAAGAGTCCATGAACTGGGGTGAAGGAAGAAAATTACATCTCTATTTCAACATAACTGGTTTCTTTTGTAATCCTATGTGCTTTATCTTATGCATTGTAAAACATTCTGAGAAGAGAGGTTCACAGGCTTCCCCAGACTACCAAAAGGGTGACAAGTAAAATGTAGGGATGGTACCCTATGACTGAGTTCCAGTGGCTCCTTTTATTATTCAGCCTATGTAGAGAGCTCAGCCAAGTTGAAATGATAGAACTGGAAGGGACTTTAGAAAACATTTTTACAGATGAGAAAACTGAGCTCTTGGAATTCTCCAGGAAAGAAATTATTTGCCCAGGTCACTTAGTTGATATCAAAGCTAGAACTAAACCCCAGATCTCCCGACTCCCAGTTCAGTGCTTTTTTTTTCCTACTGCATCACAGGGTTTCTTTCCAGGCTCTGGCCCTTGACATCATAAGCATTGTGATATTTCCATATAATTTGGGAAATCTCAAATCAGTAGACAAGAAAAGGCAACTTGAAAATGGTCACTGATCCAGAGCTAGTACAAGAAGTGAAGGGAAGCACGGTGTAATATGATGGTGACGCAGAGGTGACCTTACCGGTTGCGAAATAATTGAGATTAATGAAGGACTGTTAGTCTTACCGTGTCTGACCATCTCTCAACTCAGCAGGCCCATTCTCACAGCCATTTGTGTGAGGAGTGACTAACGCTAGAGCTTGGGGTTAGAGCTGGGTGGCATTGAACTAGGAGAGTGTTCCAGTAAGTATAGAGCCACAGATCTGCACCAATACCTAAGATAAGCTCTGCTGGGAATCAGCAAATAGGAATCAGGAGTCAAGCAAAGGAAAGTGAAAAGCCTGGGTCTGACATTTAAGCAAATACTCTAGTTAACTTAATCCATGTCACCAAAGGACCATTTAGAGAGAATATTCCTCCCACCTCCATAGAACCAAAGGTAATGCGCTTCCCTTTTTTTTCTGGTGCCTTGATTGCCCTCAGTCTACTGCTCTTAACACTCTTGTATGTGCCCTCTGACCACACTCTTAGGATTTTCCTCCTACCACTCATATTGTTCTACCAGCACCTTTAATAGCTCCTCTTCTCTACATCCATTAATACTAGGCTAGTGGTTTAAACTAGTTCAGTACATAGGTGACTAATCTCTTACCTCTATCTCAGTTCTCCTGCTTCTAGATACTCTTTCAACACAACAAAAATGAAACTGTCTTTCTTCCTATCCTTTCCTTTGTCCAGTTTATACCTTCAGGAGTTTCTCCTTTGTCTACTACTGAAAGTACAGACTCTTAGCCTGGCATTCAAGGCTTTCCCTAATCTATCTGGTTCCAGCCTTCTTCCAGGCCTTATTTCATACCATTTCCCTTCATGCATCCTACACTCCAGCCAAACTGGACCACTTAATGTTTCTGGGTTTCTTCTAGCCCTATCCCATCTCCATGCCTTGTACATGCCACCCTGTGTCTGCAGATTTCCTTACATGATGAACTTTTTTTTTCCTCCAGCTCAGTGCAACCTCCTAGAATCTAGACCTAGATGCTACCTTCCCTGATTCACTACCATCTGATCAACCACTATACTCCTCTTCTCAGATCACATATTCTAATTTGTATTCTGATTTGTGTACCTCTCTTATTTCTCCGTACTGGATTCTGAACTCCTTGAGTGCAGAGACTATTTTCTCTTTCCGTTGTTATATTCTGAGTTCCTACTAGTGTGCCTTATATACAGTAGGTTCTTAATAAGTGTTTGTTGAATTGAGTTGAAATATCTCTTCCCATCATAGCCCCAAATCCAGGAATTCAGGAGACTATGATCCTGGAGTTGACCACAGCCACCCATTTGGCTTCTACCTCTCCTGTTGATCCAGGGGAATCTATAGCATTTCTCACTTTCACCATCCAGCTAGGGGCACAACAACTCATTTAATAAGGCACTTTAAGGCCCACTGAAGCTCTCCTCCACTATCTCAGCCTGGTATGGAGGTGGCTTGGGATTCTCAAAGCCTATGACAGGGAGCATAAGCTCTGGCAGGTCCTATCAAGTGAGACCAATTTCAAATAGGGATCTTACAGTTGGCCTGTAGTCTACTGCCAACAGATCAGCTAGCTAACTAAGATCAGAGATTCAGGATCAGGTTAGCCCCAAGATGATCAATTTTTTGGCCACAGCGAATCCTCAAAATCATGTACTAAGTTATAGGAGCAGAACAGTCTGTTCTCTACCGTGGGAGTACCTACACCAGTGAAATCATACACTTGAAGTGTTTTAGATCTACAAAAATACTTTGCTCATAAACGCTGTATGAGCTAACTATGAGTTTGTGTGAGTATTTATCCCATTTTACAAATGAAGTCAGAGAAATTAAGAAATTAGCCCATAGTCACGTAACTGGTAACATCGGAGCCAGGGTTCAAACTCAGGTGTTGGGATTTCCATTGCTGTGCCCCTTCCACTGTACCAGGCTGTCTTCCAGCCTACTGGTTGGGGGAAGGGATGGGGGTAGGGGTGGGGAGGCAGTAACAGTAGTTCAGTAGAGAATCAGAGAAACTGGGCTTCAAATCTCAAGCTTTGCTACTGCCATTGTGGCCTTGAGCAAGTTATTTCATTTCTCTGGGCCTCAGTTTCCTGATTTATAAAATGAAGATAGTGGAATAGAAGATGATCCCTGCTAGCTTTGAGTCTATAATCCTAAACTTTCTATCTCCCTTAGCAGCTAGCAAAGGGCTCTCTGTACTTAGTAGGTGCTTAAATATTTCTTGATTTATTTGCTGGTTAATGTGCTTATATAACTTCTTGACAAAGCAGTTTTTACCAGTTCCTCCAATTTCATACAATTCTGTGCAGTTTGGTTTTTTTCTAATTACTACTAACTAGGGCTCACAAGTGTTTTAAAGATTTACAGAGTTCCAGAGTTACTTATAAAGCTGCATAGTGTTTATTTATCTTCCTTTATTACATTGAAACTGTATGGCTATCCTATGCCTAATGTCCCAGTAACATCTTGATGAGTTGATCTTATTTCTCAGCAAACATACTTTTAGGTCCTAGAGGAGAAATGGCATTTCCTATCTGAACTCCTAGGTTACTATCCTGACTGTAAGCTGCCTATATAGACTTTCCTACTTGGTGGAGTTAAGGGACCATTCTTCTCCCCTATTTTCCTCTTTGATCCAAGGTTTTCTCTTCTAGTCATTCTATCTTAACCATACTGTAAGCAATCTAGAAAAAGATTTTAAAGACCTAGCATGGCATGATCAAGAACAGGTTAATAGGAGGAGTTAGATTTGTTCTAGGCCTTAGCTGGCTGAACTAGGAACAATGCGGTAGATATGCAGAGAGGCAGATTTAGACTTGATACAAGAAAAAACTTCCTAACAATTCACGCTATCCTAAAGTTGAATTGATTGCCTTGAGAGATAGTAAGTACTCCTTCAGTAGAGATCTTCAAGCAAAGGTTGGATAACACTTGTGGATGGGTTGTAGAGGGACTTTGTATTCATTTATGGGTTGGATGACATGAGCCTTTGAGGTCCTTTCCAACTCTGAGATTCTGTGATTATTCCGTGATTCTTGTAGGTGGCTGTAATTTTTATGTGAGGTCATAACCATGGTGGCCCCCATATTTTTTTTGTTTCACAATCTATCTGTTGCTCACTAGATCTTAATTGTTTGACCATCCTGAGAAAGGTTCTCCAGTCTCCAGTCCCTCTTCCACAGAGCTGCCAGTAATCTTCCTATTCTAAAGCACAGGCCTGTCTATGTCACTCTCTCCTCAAGAATCTTTAGCAGGATCCTGTTGACTTGAAGATTAACTCTGAACTGCTCAGCTTAATCCTTCCCAGTCTGTCTCCAGCCTGCCTTTCCAGCTTTGTTGCATTGCACTACTCTTCATGAAGTCTACGTTCCAGCCAAATTGGCTAGTTGCTGCTCCCAGAATTTGACAGTCCTTTGAT